TGGCACACAGGCAGAAAGGAAAGAGGCCCGTTGGCTGAGCCTCAGCTACTAGGAAAGTGTCCTGGTGACTCTGCTACCCTCCGGGCAACACAAAGACCAATTTCTGTTTGGCCCATTAACCGCCATGAGGGCTACTGAGGGGCCTTGGCAGGCCCTGCCTGTGTGTGTGTGGGGTGGCTTTGTCCCTTGTGCTGTAGGTCTCCTTTGTTTGTCCTGACAGGCAGAGCTCTCAGGGCCAGTGAGCTTCTGGAGCAGTTACATGGAGATGAGAGACATCTACTCTAGAGGACTCTGCTGTAGTCGGTTCAGATGACTTCAACCTTTTACCTCAAACCTCAGGAGAGATGGCTGACCTTGGCTTCCATGTGGATACTGATGGTAGCAGAGTCCTGCCCATGTCTGAGAAGCATTAAAACTAAGATTTGGGTCTGGGCCATACTGTTAGAAGTCCAGGGCTCTAGACCCCTCTTCCCCAGCAGCTACCCTATTCTAAGGGGCGCAGGTGCAGAAGAGAACCAGCATTTGTCTCCCATGACCCCCAGAAAAACGACTAGCTGCTGTGTGAGCACAGGTAGCATCAACCTTTCCTGGCCCTCTGAGAGGTGATGAGGGTGATGGCTGGTCTTACTGCTCTGGCTGGCACTGTTAGTCCTGCCATACTCAGCCTGCAGAGGGAAGACATGCTGGGTGAGGGAGGCCCAATGCTAGGCTGTTCCTGAGAACCTGACACCTCACCTTTTGCCCTTTTCCTTTTATTTCAGTCTGGATCTTTTAGATTTTTTTTTTAGGTGACCATTCCATTTCCTCTTTCTGTTACCTTGTTACTATGGTCTCTGTCCCTCCTTTCTAGCGTCTTTCATAGGGACGACAGAGTACATTCTTAACAGATGTCCTAAAAAGCAGCTTGTTGAAAAGCAGTGGTGGTGCACACCTTTAGTCCCAGCACTTGGGAGGCAGAGGCAGGCAGATTTCTGAGTTCAAGGCCAGCCTGGTGCACAGAACGAGTTCTAGGACAGACAGGACTACACAGAGAAACCCTGCCTTGAAAAACCAGACCAACCAACCAAAACAAAACAATTAGTAGCAGTAGTTGTACATATCCTGCACCATAGGCCCAGGACATGCGGATAGCAGGTTCCATCTGTCACTCTTTATGTCGTTTGTACTATCTTACTGTGTTGTATTTTTACTTGTTTGTCTGAGATAAGAGCTCACTTTGGAGCCCAGGCTAGCCTTGGGCCCTCACTGCAGCCTCTTCTGCCTGAGTCCTAGCGTGAGTTCCAGATGAGCAGGACTGCACCTGCTTTATGTTTTATTTTTGTTTTTACTTTGCAGGAGTGGGGGTGTTTGGTGTGGTTTAGTTTAAGAGAAGGGTCTTACTGGGTAGCTGAGACTTTGTAGAACTCAGTATGCCTTCCTCAGCCTTCACCTGAGTCTGCACCTCACTCTGCTGCCTCAGTCTTCCATCAGTCAGTGGAGGCCTTAGCTGTCAGTTTCAGCGTATTCACTGAATATTGGATGTCTTTAATTTGCTTCTCTGTGTTGCTGGTTTTTTAGTAATTTGGCAGTGGTTTGCTTACATATACTTTTCTTTGAAGTTGATGGTTTTTCTTGTTTGTGACAGCATTTCAGGGATCTCAGCCTGGCTTTAAACCATTATGCAACCCACCTTGAACTTCTGATCCTCCTGGACCCTAGGAACACTACAGAGGTGCACTGCCATGCTTGGTTCTGCATATTAGGGATAAATCCAGTGCTTCCTTCAGGCTAGGCAAGCACTCACCCCTCGGCACTAAAACTCCAGCCTGGAGCTCATGGTCTTCTTTAATCTGTGGTTTGACAACTCTTTCCTCTCTGTGTAGGCATCATGTAAGTGCAGTGCCCACAGAGGTCAGAAGAGTGCCAGATTCCCTTGACCTGGAGTCACAGATGGTTGTGAGCTACCACGTCAGTCCTGCAGACTGAACTTGGGTCTTGTGCAGAGCAGCATCCCCTTAGCCACTAGCCAGCTCTCCATCCCACTTGACTAAATTCTGTATGGTCCTCTGTTAACATTCAGTCATTGCTGGGCATGGTGGTGCATGCCTGTATTCCTACCAGCAGTTGAGAAGCAGAAGCAGGAAGATATCCACTTGAAAGTCAGCCTTTGGTACATAGCAAAACTGTCTTCAACACTCAGTCATCATCTCTGTAAAATTTGTTTCCTGTGTACGGTCTATAAGTATACAAGTCTCATCATATTCCATAGGTATCCTAGATATGGTGGTGCATGCCTGTTGTCCTAGCACTTGGGGGGTAGTTGCTGGGGGTCAGGAGTTCAGGGCCATGATGGGATACACAAGACTCATTTTAAAAGGAAGAAAACAAGACTGTGGAGAAGGCTCAGTGGCTGAAGGTGGTTGCTGCCAAGCCTGATGACCTGAGTTCAGTGCTGGTATCCATGTTAAAGGAGAGAACACACTCCTACAAGTTGTCTTCTGACCTCTGCGGTGCATGTGCACACACCCACACATGATAGACAGACAGACAGATAACAACAACCAAACCCTGCAGAAATAGAAAACAGAGTGGAAAATTAATTCTTTTTTTCATTTTATGTTTTGGGGAGACAGTCTTACTGTGAGAGGCTCAGGCTACCCTCAAATTTAAAATTCTCCTGCCTCAAGTCTGTTTCTAATCATTCTAGTACGTCCTTGGTTTTCAGTGAACCATGGCTGTTATGTTGGAGCCTATGTGAAGTTCTGGATTGTTTCTTTTTCTCCATAGAGAGCTTCTTGCCCCTCTCAACAGCAGCTGGCCTAGGGGTTCCCTGATCCCCCCTTTTGGGACTGATGGTGTGCCCATTTACATCGCACTCTCTACTGAGGGGTGATCTGCCTGCCCTGGGATTGTATAGATTATTTCTATCTCTGGCAAAGTGATGTGCTGCAGGTTCACCCCGTTCTTAAGATGGGGTCACAGTGGGTAACCCAGAGCTTTGCCAGGGCCTGCTCCTCCTTGGCTCTGCTATGTTCTTCTCTCTCCAGCCTGAGAGGTTGCAGGGAGCCCAGCTTTTCAGACACCATTAGCAAGAGACAGGTGTTCAAGGGAGGCCCTTGTTACTTCTCTCTGCCTGCGCCCCTGCAATCCTTCTTGGCTTGGTTCTCCAAGGCCGACCAGTGGATGTTTAAACTGTCTCTGTGCCCCAGTTTGTTGTTTGTGGAAAGGGAATTAAATCTTGGACTTGTTTAGAAAATCCTCAAGCACAACCCAGTGCCCCTTTCCCTGAGACTCCTGCCCTTTGGCAGTGGGCCAGGGACACAGGGATTCAGGCTTTGGGGCCCCTTCATGCTGGTGGCCATCTGAGGACACGGGGTAGCAGGTGAAGCTTGCTGCTGCCTAGTCTCTTATTACTCATGGACCCTGGATCTGGTTGTGGGGTTGGAATTTTTTTTTTTTACTCTCTTCACTAATTCCTGCTGTTTTCTTCCTACACCCAGTTTCTGTTCCTCTTCTCTTCCCATCCTGTGGTGAACAAAGCCATGGCAGCAGAGAGGCTCCACTTGTCACTGTGCACCCCAGTGACCTGCTGTGCACTCCAGGCCTGAGCAGGCAGAGGGAACAGGGGTCAGGTACCCCTAGATGTGTGGGGATGGGCGTATAGGTGCCAGCACTCCCTGGGTTTAGCCTCGCCCCAGGGGCCTTGGCAGGAGGGAAGAGGTGGTATGTTGGTGTGTTAGCTGGGGACACGGCCACTAGTTAGTTATGTGGCCACAGGCATCGTGCACCTCACCTGTGGAATGACTTAACCCTCTCAGGGACTGGGGAAGCCACCAGCACTCTGCCCAGGCAGAGCTCTCCCAGTTGGAAGGAAGGCTGTCCTGAAAACCTAGGACTTTCTGAGGGGCCAGAGTTGAAGATAGAGTGGGAAAACAGCTGTTCCTTCTGTGCCTCTGGCCTAGGGTCTGTCCACTGTTCACACCTACCTTAATTAAGCCCAGCTGCCCTCAGGAACTCCCACCTTGCTGCCCTGTGGGGTAGCCAGGTCCCCTCTTCCCAGGGACAATCCTCTCTCTATTTGATTTGGATTTGATGAGCTGCTGAGCTGGGAGACTGCCTGTAGGTAGTGGATAAAAGACCTGGGCTCCTGCTGGATAATGCTGGCCCCTGGGATTGCACACCCCCAGGTTTGAGGTTTTTCTAGTTGCACTCAAAAGATCTGTCAGGGTTTGAGCTTTGTAAGTCTCACCAGCATGTGAGCAGATCATGACATATGGTTATGCCTTGTCCCCATGGCCTTTGTGGGCCACTCCCATCAGGTATCAAACAGATCAGCCTCTTGTGTCTCCTTTGTGTTGGTCCAATCCACTATGGCCTCAGGCCCAGAAGAGGCAACTTCTGGAATCTTTGTATGTTGTATAAAGGCCCCCCCTCTTTTAAACACAGTTTCAGTGTCTTTCTCTCTCTGTCTCTCTTCTCTTCCCTCCACCCCCCGTCATCTCGGTGTCACTTGACCATACAAACACACCTTTGGCCCAGTACACACAGACCCTTTCCACTGAAAGCGATGGACTGTGTGACATACATTGGCTCTAAGACGTAAAGGCTCTGAGGAGGTTCGGCTGGGTTTGGAGAGCTGGTATGAAGGGCTTTGTCTTTGAGGAGTGACTCAACCCAGGAGCTCTGGCTTAGCCTTGCTCTGGGATGTACAATCTCTGCTGTGCAACCTCATGAAAACGGCATACCCTCAGTTCCCATTACTGCCAAATGGAGACAACCCAGTAGATGCTAGTGTCCTCAGTCACCCTGGCCCAGATTCTGAGGCCATGTATGCGTGCGTGCCTGCTTGCGTGCCTGCGTGAGTGCGTGCCTGCCTGCCTGCGTGCGTGCGTGCGTGAGTGCGGTGCTCCCGTTCCCTTGGCCACCTCCAGACAGGAGGAGGAAATGTGGAACTTGCACATGGGAAGCAGGCATCCCATCCCACTCGTGCACTGAGGTGTGCCTGTGCTCTGCTCTCACAGGGAACTCAGGCCTCGGAACTATGTCCCAGAGGATGAAGACCTGAAAAGGAGGCGGGTCCCTCAGGCCAAACCAGTTGCAGGTACATGGACTCCTTTTCCCCCCATGCTCCTTCCAGTCACTCTCAGAGAAGAGCTACCAAGCCAGAGACAGGCGTCTGGGGCATTCACACACCTCAGGGACCATAAAAGAGTCAGGAGGGCAGGAAGGAGGTCCCTTGCACCTCCAACCTGGAGGGGCCACAGGCCCTCAGGGCATGAGGAGTGGAAGTGACCTGAGGTCCTTGGGCAGCAAGGCTAGATGGTGAGTCCTGTGTTGCTGGGGAGAGGAGCAGAATGAAAGACCCCAGAGAGAGGCTGACCGCAGAGCCTCAGGGGAACAACCAGCAGCATCACAAAGGCCCGAGAGCGCCCTGCCCAGATCCCCACTGCTCTGACTGAGGGTGAGAACCCCAGGGTGAGAGGGAGGCTCCTGGTCACAGGAGCAGAGTCATCCTTTGTTCTGAAGGATCTGGCTTTGTTCGGTTTTGAGACAGGGTCTCAGTGTGGAGCTCACTTTGTAGACCAGGCTGGCCTTGAGCTCACAGACATCCACCTGCCTCTGCTTCCCAAGTGCCACCATGCCTGTCCAAGAATCCTAGTTTTTAATTTTTGATACTAACTTTCCATTGTACGAGTAATGAATGAATAAGTCCCTTATCAAAAATTCAGAAGTTGCCCAACTGTTTCTTGCTAACCCTCTCCCTGCCCCATGGAGCAGTGGCAGGGTCGGGCACGGGCACCCCACAGAGTGGGAGGCGGTGAGAAACTGGCCCTTGGCCTCTACCAGGAGGCCCCCAGGACTTCAGTCTGGCAGAAGAAAGGAAGGTCAGAGGGACACATCCCTGGTGAAGGCTGTCCACATTGTTACGTTTCAGGCATTTGTCACCAGAAGGGGACACTGAGAGACCCAGGGGCTTAGTGGAGCAGGAGGTGCCTGTCATAAGTCTGAGGTGGGATGGAAGGGACGATGAGGCACCCAGACTCCAGCCATGCCAGACCTGGAGGAAACCCCTAGGCCCTTCACTTTTAATGCCACACTTCCCGTGGACACAGGCACCTCCTTTTCGTATCCGGAAGCCTGAGGTCTGGGCCTTGTCCACTCAGCTGTAGCCTTCTCTGTCCCTTTCTGGGCCCTGGGGTCTGCCTTCAACCTAGGAAGCCAGATGTCTTCCAGAGTGGCTGCTGAGTGGTGTCCCTCCTCTTCCCTGGGGCCCCTTAGGTTGTTCACTCTGGAGTGACAGCTCCTACCCAACAGGCCTGTGTTGTTCTTTTGCCCTCTAGTGGAGGAGAAGGTGAAGGAGCAGCTGGAGGCTGCCAAGCCAGAGCCTGTCATTGAGGAAGTGGTGAGTACCTGGGAGGCCCCTCCCTGCTTGTGCTGCTTCCTTCTCTAGCTGTCTCTGTTCCCACCCTACTAACTTCCTTGCCTGCCTGCATTTTTCTGCCTCCGTGCCCAGTCTCTCCACTCCGCCTGAGGCTGGTCCTCGGCCCTGATGCGTTCTCTCCTCTCTCCCTAGGACCTGGCCAACCTAGCACCTCGGAAACCTGATTGGTGAGTGTTGTCCATGAAGGCTGGCCCAAGCTGTTTGGGGGGTGATGGTGTTTGGTGCATGTCAGAGGCCTCGGCTGGGAGGACAGCCATGGGACAGGTAGGGACAAGCCCTGCAGCCATAGCTCCGCCCAATAGAGTCAGGGATAAGGGCTGAGTAAGGCATGAGTACTGGCCGAGGGTAAAGTGCTCAAGAGGGGCCGAGGGATGAAAGAACAGCCATCCTTTCAAGCCTCTTCTGTAGGGGTGAAAACTTACCTACTCTGGGGGCCCTGACTCAGCAGTGCACCCCTTTGTGCTCAGGATACCACAGTGAAGAGAACGGATGGGCAAACAGATAGGGCTTAGGCCTCTGTTTTAAGTGTGAAGTAGGGAACCCAGTCTCTTCAAGCCTGGCAGCCCCTCTGACTGAGCTGAGACTATGGGTGAGGGAAGCTGCTGTAGGCGTGTCTCTCGGTGCCTGTAGATCTGTGGGGTTACAGCACCTACCACAGTGCTTTAATTTGATGAAACAGCCATGAGGTGTGTGCTGAAGGAACTGCAGAACTAGAGAACTCAGGC